GTCATCTCCAAAGATAGTGTGCCATCCTTTCCATTCTTCAGCTCCATTACCGTATACTGTATTATGCAGCAGCAAAAAGCATGAAATTTTTTTGTCCATAGTTTATAAGAATATTGACAGAATATCAATAGTCACTAACAAATACCTGTGTAGGAAAACTTGTCATGAGGGACATCCATATCAAGCAGTTCACATTAAAACACAAAAAGGCCAAGTGTTGATGGACAGACAACAGAATACAGTAACTCTAGTGTGGGAGGCAATCCAAATGTTAACTTTCACTACAACTTCTCACTGGAAACGACAACACTAAATGCCATACAACCAGGCTACCACAAGTGATTAAGAAGTTGCATTGACAAATGGATCATAATGCACAATGGACATAAAAAAATCACTTTGCCTTTGGCTGGGTGAACTAATATACAAAGTACTGAACTGTAATTGTATCATGTACTTTATATTCTTTAGACTCAAGATCTAATTTGAATCCAAAGCTCCTAATACATCGCAAATGCCAAGTACTGTATACCCCATGGTAATAACAATATCCAAAATACCAATATGGCTGCCAAGCAAACAAACTAAAATTATGGATTCATATCCTGGCTTGTTCAGCAATTAAGCACATTGCCTTGACCCACAAAACATACTATTTCCATATTTGAATTGCTTACGATTTTCTTAATCCTTTCTATCACTACTCAACCAAAAACTTTACATCCTATACTCAAGGAAATTTAACTTGTTACTGATAAATGTGTATCTTTTTTGTAAGGCAGTACAATACTATTGCTGCATCCATCCATTCACTGAATATACTGTACCTTCTATCCATAATCTAATACACAGGGCAGGTGTATATCCAGTAATACCTCCACCTCTCACTTATTGTTTATCTTAATTAAAAGATGCAATTCAATCTCTACACCTTGAGTTTTTGTCCTATCTCATCCTGCTGAACATGCTTCATCTACTACACATACTTCATCTACCACCTCACACAAGTAACCCACTACATAACTCACGTCATCATACCTAATTTCCAAACCCATTTCATAATTGTTTTTTTTAATTCTTGGAACCTTTAAACTACTATACAATACTGTACTGTAGTTCTTTTTGCCTAACTACTGTACCTTATCATTTCTTCACCACTGCAAAAGTCTGTACTGTTCCTTGTCAAGAGCAACTAGACAGTGATGCTTAATATATCCTTAAAGTTAAGCTAATAATGATTACCACTTGCCAGTCACAATCTCACCAAAATGTGGCAATTTTAATTATTATATAATGATGATGATGACAGCCAAAATAATCCATTAATGTACTGGTCCATGATCTGAAGAATCCCATATAATCCAATTGTTTCATCATATACTGTACTTTACTTTAAAGGAAAAATCAATGCAGCAAGGAAAGATATTAACTATTATAAACACTGGTCCCTCACTTTACCAAATATAAGAAAACAAAATACTTGTGGTGGTGTCTATTACTGGTCAATAATAAGCCGTTAACAAATGTACAGTGAATCCTCCATATAACAGACTTTCTTCTCCGTGTAGTTAGTTAAACAGAGGTTTCACTGTATGAAACTCTAAGAGTGGTAAGAGTATCGCTGTGTACTTCGCTCTAAGTGCTGTTTGTGATGTGTATGTTATGGTGTGAATCATCCTTGGTGATTTCTGTTGGTTGTCAATTTGTTGCATTTGCTTCAAGTCCCTTGAATACTGTATGGCAGCATGAGATAGATCTCAGGTTAGCCAAGAAGACCCTTTTGTCTAGCAGCCATTTTGCTGCCCAAAGCCAAGAGCATGTCAATCAGGACATGTGATTGGTTGGCAGCTACATCAAGTCATATTAAACAAATCAGACTTGACCATGCACAGTGATTTGCAACATACTGTAGTTCATAAGTGTACCATATAGCACACTGTAAGCCTGTATCCATTATCTACTTAATCAGTATCTAAAATTGAAGTGACTGAAGGTCAAGCTTAGTGCATTATTATAGGTACTGTGGAACATAAACAATACTGTACTGTACTGTACTGGTGCTGACAAAGACAAGCACTGATTCTACATAAATGAAAGCTATTATTTTTTTTTTTTGGCTAAACTTCTGTATACAGTAGTACACTATCAGTGTCAATGCAGGAATGACATTTTATAATATCAATGCTGAAGAGAGGATGGCTAATTCCCTTCAAGGAACAAAGAGAAACTAGTGTAATACCCATTCTTTTACTTTATCATATACTGAATTGTAGTTGTACTGTATAATATTGTCTTGACACTAAGTGGAGCACATTACCAAAATTAGATGTGTGAGAGCCTGGAATACCCGATACAATAATCATATTCTACCACAACTTTGTCAGCAGCTGTTAATAAACTTGAGTCATATTGCACTCTGAGATCATTTGGTGGCAAGATTCATCACTAAATCATAGATGATACAGCGCTAACAAATAAAAAAAGATCTTCATTGATGGCAACAGTAATCTATGCCAGGCCTATGGTATTCCATTCACCCAATGTATAAGAAACATCACTAATTTCATCTTAATAATATTAGAAATGCAATACTGTACCAAAATTAATATGGCTTATAAGTACTGTAGTATATCATTATGCAATTTAACCAAGCTCACCCTGTCCTAACTCACATAACATTGATAAAACTACTTTTATTTAGTTAACAATTAAATTTAATGTTATGCAATAACTTTAGTGTCGTCTCCTCCACAAACCATAAGCTACCAATTCCCTCTAATGAAAATGTACGCACGCACGCACACTACAGTAGGTGTTGTATATTGTGCTCCCAGCTCAAGCCACATCTAAATTAGACAGTAATGTGCAGATATACTCATAAAATCAGCTGTCCAAGGATGTCATGTATTTGCAGTAAGAAATTGGAACATTGTAAAGTCAATTTCTTAAAAGAGAAAGCAGTATTGTACAGTACTTCCAATTTTTTCTTCCACTAAACTTTTAACACAATAATGTAATCATAAAAATACTAACAAAGGAAAAATGACATTCCAACAGTTTTTCTCACCATGAAAGGCAGATATAGTTGCCATACAGTGCTCATGAATATTCATTACATGTTGTTACTCTCTGACCCAACATGTATATTTCAGGCTAAGTGTTCTGAGATAAAGAATGTATTGTGATAATTTCTATTGATTTTTCCCTATTAGGTTATAGTATAGGATTAAGCCTTAGTTAGATCATGGATTTTGGGCTACACTCAGTAAATTTACAATCACTAATTGCACTGAAATGCATTGAGCAACATTTAGTGACAAGTGATGACTTCTATGTATAGCCCCCAACTATGACTACATATCTTGGGCTGACCTAAGAAAATTACTGGGCATGAGGTCTTCATATCCAAAATGGTACGTTTTGTTAAAAAAAAATATGTATTCACTGTCTTGTATAAGAAACATGCTAACTCTTGGAGATGTGTTAAACTGCATGCCTTACACTGAGAGGTGTATCAAACACTTAGTCAGCATTTAATACAAATTTAGCAAAGACTGGGAATGTATGCAATAAGAATGTCAAAATTACCCCTGTTATAAAAGATGACAATTAGACTGGTATTTTGCATCATAAACATTATTTTTTATCAAACTTAAAACTCATCAGTGTGTTGATAAGATACAATAAGGAACTATTGTCAAGCTTTAAAATATAAATTTTATAAGTTAATTTGAAAGGTCCTCCATGAAGCTACACCATGAAATTTCAGAGAACATCAAATCTGTATGTTATTCAGAGCTTCAAAATTTAAATTAACCTGAAAGTACACTAACATAAATCTCTTATACCAATCTAAATGTTTTAATCTTTGTAGAGGCCAAAGAGAAGAAAATATCCAGATTAGAAGAAAAGGCAAAAGACCTGACAGAATGGACCATAACCTGCTTGCACACAGTTTGAACTTAGGAAGTAGAGATGGCATTTGGTCCTTACTTGATCACTGCACAGCCTGGGCCCAAACTGTCACCCCATCATAAACAAAAGCATAACCACTTTATTACTGACCCAAAGCATGGCTGTACAAACATCAAGTAGAGAAGTGAAATAGAGATTAAACCAATCTTTCCACACACACGTCAGTTGCAGTATGTGTGTGTACTCGCCTTGAAATGTAAAGGTCAAAGACAAAATGTAAGTCTTACTGACAGATTCAGGTTTAAAGGTATTTCATTTTCAAGAGCTACTGACTGTAGCAAAGCAAAAATAAAACTACAAGTTCAGTAAAAACTGATAAAGCAACTAGTAGTGAGGGTTCCAGGACAGTCACTTTAATCTGCATGGGTTCTGAAGGTTGTCGTGATTTTGAAAAGAATAAAGGACAAGACTGGTTATTATATTAATCCTGCAGCTTCAATAAGACTCACTTTCAGAGAAAGTCACGGCCTCTTTGGAACACTGACTAGGACAATACAAGAAACCACTTTTTTTATGAAAAGGCTGGTTTACATTAATGCTATCTAGTTAAAAAATCACTTGAGGTAACACACTAGAGTCACCTGCACTACATGAAGTTATGGCAGTTACTCCAACCATTTCATATTCTGCTAATTCCAATATTGCTACAAGTGCCATCACTCTACAACACTTAAGACTTAACAGTCCAAGACCACAGTGCCATCAAGAGACTTTTCTTCAGAGGTAATTTTAGTAAAAAAAGGAACACACAGTCTAGAAAACCCACGTGAAACAAGAAACTGACAAAAGTTCAAGTGTACACACATACTCCTAACTTGAAGATTACAGAAAGAAGACCAGCAGCTTCAAGAAAATAAGAGAAGATTTATAGGGAGAATTATTAAATAAATAAAAGGCCTTGTCTGAGCAGGAAAAAATGCATAAAATACTGCTGAGCAGGTAACCCACAAGCCAATAGGAGACTCCCTTGTCTCAGTGCCATCAAGAGCATTCCATTCCCAAGTTCAAAAAAAGACAACACTTACACATTTGGAAGCCGTAGTCAGAGGACGCTGCAAGGAACAAAACACAACCATTGAGTGACAGCCAAGAGCCATACGCACCATCAATACCGCACGATAATTGAACCACCGCCGGGAGTCAGCTCGGATAAATTCCTCACAATCCAGTACAGTGAAAAGTACATTAATTGTTTGACTCTGTACTTTAAATGTTAGGAGGCTGTTAACATAAGCAATAATGCTAAAAAAAAATATCAAATATTATCAGCATACATAATTTTAACATTTCAACTAAGGGTTTACAGTAAAAATCCCAATATTTGAATCTCCAAGTGATGAGTTTACAAATTCTGATATCTCACACACACACACAAGCTTTCCCTTCATTTGTAGTAATTCATTCACCTTGTTTCCCTCATCACTTAACATCAACAGCAGGTCCTTCCCCCAAACTACTCCTCAGCCACACACACACTTCTACTTTCTGGGTGTCCTCCCCTCTCACTTCCTGTGTGTCTTCACCCCATCTTTACATTCTTTCTTGGCTTCTTTCTCTCTCTCCTAATATCCACTTATGACTAAAACATTCTTTGTACTGTATCAATCTTTTGTGACTTGTAATTTATAAAATTATGAATATTGTAAGCATGTCATCTTGAGTCAGGATATTAAACACTGTTGCCAAAAATGTAAATGGGGTACAGTAATTTTAATCAACGATAAATTAATTTCATTATTTGAACAGTGTGGCACAGTACACTGATTTTATGGGTACCGATGGTACCAAAGAAAATGCGATTCGTTGTTGGTATCAGAATTTTCAGCGTGCTGGTGAAGGTACCAACCCCAATACAGTTTACTGTACTGTATTATTGTATATTGTGCGATAACAGTATAAAAAATACTGGATGAAGAGTATTATATCATTCCATTGCTGATAATAACAAAAAGACCCATGCAAATTCTTTCTAATTATCTAATGATTTTTGAAGTTTGAAGAAAATATGGTTATAACTGGTCTACTACAGTAGAATGTCAATTTACTCCCGCCATCTTTGTTCCAGTGTACATCTAGTGAGTCAACAAACAAAACATATTATACAAACATAGAACACTGACAACATCAATTTCTGCCAACTACAGTACAAAGAATCCATTTAGTTGTGTTCCTGTAACTGGTGCATCTCCAGGAATTAGCACTGACATTTATTTCTTATGACTTGTAAAATCTCACTTCATGTGAATTTTTATGGACTCTTTGAAATGCTGTACAGTATATCAAGGTCCTTTTCTTGTTTCCTCAATTTCCTTTCACTAACTTCAAGTCATATTCACATTTCACTCTTTCATGTTTGATGTCTTCACTCATCAGCACCTCACACTAAGCAACACAATTGAACAGCAGTAAAAAGCTGCAGGTGATCAAACTGGACATCAATCTCTCATCCAAACAATAACTGCCTATTGCATTCATTCATGAGTTACGCTCTTCTGAAGAATAAGAGTGTCTTTATTTCGCCTTTTTTTTCCCAAGCAGAAAACTAAGTTTACTATGCAGAGTATTAGTGAGTGTAGCAGAAGGTATTGGAGTCTTATACCATTCTCACAAAGTCATTGAGAAATCTTTACTGGCAAATGACTGCCAAAAATTTATCCAAAATTGGGATTTTTTCTGTACATTACCCACAAGTCAAAGCTGACAATGAACTACACAATATATTCAAATTTGATACAGTAAATGGTAAGAGTACAAGTATATGACAATAGGAATTTAAAATAGTACTGTACTACAGTACTGCATTAATCAAAATTTTAGCTTTGATAAGTTAAATTAAAACCTTAGTTATCTACAATAATTAAAGGATTACTTTACTGTAAGAAGCTAATGTATAATTTTCAAGGTTGTGCCATAATCAGGAAGAAGAGAAATACTGTATGAGTAAAAGATGTTTAAGTCAGTAAATATAAAAGGTTTGCACAATAATCACTGGACCAATCTCACGCATAAATCCAGACTGTACTGTATATTTAATTATGTCAGAACTCATCCAGTACAAAAGAATATATATACGTAGTGCATCTCAACTCTCACAGTTCTATATGTTCAAGCAACAACTATTCTAAACTGCAGTTCCCATCCTTCCCTATATATTTAGGCTTTACTAAACTTTGGCCTCCATAACTAGTTACTGTCTTTATAAACACACTCGAGCTGCCCCCCTGGTGGTGGTATGCTCTAGTATGGCATCTTGGCAACACACATCACATTTGGTGCGCTGCTTGAACGGGGGAGGGGTCGTCGTGATCACATGGCTACCAGGTACTTCGCAACAACTTCACGTGGCTTTGGAAAAGCTACACACAGGCACGGATCAAAATTAAAAACTTAATAAAGCAGCAAATGTCACTTGTAATAATAAATACACAAAAAACTGCATGAAAATAAAAACTCTGGCTACTATGAAAATCATTTGCATGTGTCATTGCAAAGAATCCTGGTACTTGTGTCCAACAATCCTGGAAGCAATCCTGTAAATGGCATATATACTGTCCTTAGCAGCATACAGTACTGTAAAACTTGGCTGTATAGAAGCACCAAACTGTAAAGGACCTAGCTCATCCAACTGTCATACTCCTGGTATATAGACTTGGCAGTAACAAATTCACATTTACATGCTCCTGGTGTATTTAATCAAGCTCCTATTGGTTGGTTATGCAAGATATTTTTAATTTATGTTTACACAAAAGAATTATTGAAAAAAACATCTTTACTGTAATTTTAGCACCAGCTTTACAAAGAAAACGTTTGTACCATATCTTTGGCACTTCATACAACATTTGTATTACAGGTATCAAATCATGCCTTAAGTCCTAATCTCTCTCATGTTATATGTCTTTTGATGTTGGTTCAATAACTATTTGTATGACTTATTTGCATGAAATGATAAACATTTCTAGGTTTAATTTAGTATTTGTATAAGAAAACATGCAAAACTTATACAACAATTAGATTAATAATAAACATTGCTACAGGCACACGGCCTAGATCATGGGAAGGGACAACAAATGTACTTAAAAAAGTGTAAAATTGAAGATTCATCAAAAGATTCAAATTTATAATTTCAGTGTTTTAGAGGCCTTGACATATCTTAGATATCATTACAATCTTTTCTGATGCATTACAGAACTCTACATTCTTGCAGATTATGTCTAAGACTGTGAGGTGCTGAGCTACGAGGCCCCTAACTGTGATGATAGTGACTCATGACGTTTTCTTCCTCTAGTCAACATGTAAACATGACTCTTTTACCAACCTCAACAGTTGTAAAAGGTGTCTGGTTTCATATTTACTATGGCTAGCCTCTGATTAGCTCTTCAAATACTGCTCATTTCCTATGGACCATGAGCATGTATTTGAAAGATAACCAAGGTTATCAATCACATTTGGTCATTAAGAAGGCAATTGAGACACACCCAGTGGCCTTGTTATTAAGTAACCATTCATTATGACCTATAACCTGTTCTGTAGATAAAATCAGCCATAATGGAGGCATACTTTAGGCTCAACACCACTCAGTGTATCAAAATCACAGGTGTTGTAAAACTTGATTTAAGGAAAGCTTCAGATGGTGCGTCGAGTTTTCCATATCTGTAACTCTGGGAGAGAGAAAGTAAAAACTTATATCCAACTATACTTAGGAGTTCCAAAGGAGCGCAATTAAGAATGGGAAGAGGTGATTCAATTAATTTCTTCTACAGACTCACCACCACACTAGGCCTATGTACATCCATGCTCTGCCTCAGCTAAGGGTCAGGCCCACATTCTGAGAGAACACTATAACAACCTCTAAAGTTACTGGGAATGACAAATTATCAACTCAAGCAGTTTATCAGAATCTGGGCCAAAGGCTACTCGGTTATCCTTAAAGCATCCATGTATCTGGGACCCATTTAATATAAATTGCTTTAGTTTCAATACATTCCAATTGTCTACAACTTCTTATTTATACTGTACTACCATTCTATCACTACATAAAAGGCCCTAAAGTTGCTTTCTAGCTCAAACTCAGAAAGCAAACGTACACTCTAATACCTATACATAGCAAATACCTATACATAGCAAATACCTATACATAGCAATTACTAGAAATGGATACGTACATTGATCTGTCCCTATTTATTCATCCGTGGTAGCATAGGAATAATATTATAAATCTGCAATATCCTATACAGTACATGGGGACACATATAAGTTTTCAACAATAATTCCAAAATATTCTGTATTCATATTTAATCTAGTCAAAGGTCCCATAACTTCACACACTTGACTTTAAATTTAGATATTCTTACTAGGATAATTCAAAAAATGCTGAATATGACTTGAGTTAGTAAAAAAAATAAATAAAGGTATTAGTGCCACTACAAAAACACTGGCATCCCACTCATAAAAATGGAAAATATCTAATGCATATAAACATGAAGTTAATAGAGCTGAGATGCATAACTACACTTGAAAAAAGACGGGCAAAAAAAATATATATATACCCTGTAATTAAAAAATTCCAGCAATTTTTGCTAATCAGCAGTAAAATGTGGAACAATTCATGGACTAAAATAGGTCAAGTCTGGCACTTAATGCTCAGGCCAATGCAACTAATGCAATTCCTAGGATCAATGTGAAATGGTTAATGCTTAAGCCAGTGCCATTAACACAACTCCAATGCAAGCAGATAATCAGCAAAATTGTCATGTATACTGCTCTCTACAGCATGATACAGCAGGCTAACAGTGAACCCCAGGTATTGCTGACTATTTACACTGATGTCATTCTAATGACAGAGGCCTAAGTCTTTCTCAACAGTGAGTTAAAATACTGTACTGTTTTAAGTCAGCCATAATTATGTCCATATATTGTAATACCACAATCTACATGATCATGTGTTATCACTGAGCCTAGTCACAACACTCAAAACAGGAAGACACTTGTTAGCAACAGGTACTTACAGTTGGAGCACATCTCCATTGGTAGTGAAGCTTCGTTACCCTGCAAGTGGAAAAAAAATTTATTCACTGTTTATAGAGAAATACATACTGTACCACTGCGAGGAACTGAGATAATGTTGTACAGTGCTTCAAAAATACTGACTGGGAGGAAAATTATATCCTTGCAATATGTATCATGCCTTGCTATCCACCAACTCAAGGTCTCACGTGACTTAAAATATCACTCCATATCCTACATTCTGTACGGGTATATTGCATTAGTTTTATCATAATGACAACTGGGTGGGGGAAAAGGTGCTAAATGCCTTAAACTCAAAAGCATGTCATTCCACTAGCATATAAAGTGAATACATGTAGAGTGTATTAGTTTTTTGCATCGAAGAGGTGTGACCAGAAAGATGTGTTAGACTCTGGTACATGATTGACAAAATTGCTTAGGTCAAGGATTTCCAAGAACTCAGAAGGAAATGGTTTCAGAGATGGGGTGTCGAGCCAATAATTGAAGTCACCACAGATCAATCATTGCCCGTTCTAGCCTGAGAAAGTCTCAAGAAACGAGGCAAACTGATCCATGAACTCTTATCTGTACCTGAGTGACCAGAACGATAAAAAGCAATTTTAATAATTTGGAGATGATGATTTATTAATGCTTTCATAAATTCAAAGGATGAAAAACACAGTCACTGCCAATCAGTCTAATGAGCAGGACCACAGAACAGAACAGTGCCACTCTGCCACCTGGAGCTCCTGCAGCAGGTCTGGGAACATGAACAAGAGAATGTGTCTTGGGATGAGCACTACAAATAATGTTGATGTCTGATTCATACAACCACATTTCAGTTACACACAGGATATTAATGGTTAACTTATAAAAGTATGAAATGCATGAAAGTTTACCCCCCAATTTTTTTTTTAAGTATTTAAGAGAAAATCTTTAAAACTAATTAATATTATAAAATACAGTATCTTGCAAAACAAGATCACAAAATTCACATCTCGGCACCTTTCATAACATTCAAACAGACAACGAGCATTAATGTACTGTGCTCAGGTACTGTACAATCCCTCCACTTGTATATTAAAGTCTATGTATGGTTATTATATAGGACTAACCCGCCAGGGCTGCATAGTGCCGATGCGGCCGTATCATCTCATGTCCAGAAAATTACTCAAATTTCAACATATCATAGTAAGTTCTTTCTTTTAATATACCGGGGAAGTTAGGTTAGGTAGGTTTGTTTGGTCTGGTTGGTTAGGTCTGTTCTTCATACCCACAAATGTTATGTAGCGTTTATTTTAAAAATATCAATTTTTTAACATATTTCCACAAACCACAACAGTGTCCACTAAAATATAACAATGAAAATCCGGCGTTTTTATAATTGTTTTCAATCGATTTTGCTCGCAGGTTAGTCCTATATAATTACCCCATGTATAATAAAATTTTCAAAATAACATGTGAAGTTTGATACAGAAGACAAGTGCAGTGGTTCTGACAAGTGATTCAACTGTTACACAAATTTTTACACCACACCTCCACTAATCTCAAGAAGGCCAAATTCTCTTATGAAAAAATCGAAAGTCCAGCAATTGTGAGAAATTTCTCAGGCATGTTGAATTTCTTATTAGTCATCTCCCTAAACATTTCATTCAGTAAGTTTTAAATGCAAATCAAAAGTGCTGGTTCAGAAGGTTAAAGATATTCCATCACAACAAGTATTTCAGTTTCCTAACATATTTTTCCCGGCGTCAAATACCAAAATATTTATACCTCGCCTTGAAATGAAGTGCCATTTCACAATATGAAAAATGAAAGTGAAATATAATACATAAGAATGAAAAACTCCCCTATGCACATAAGTGAGTATATGTGGAGTCAAGTTACTATGTGTTTCATAATATCAAAAAGGAGGTTTGTCATTAGCACATCATAAGAGCGAAATAAAACAGGTGATCTCCCTGTCATTGATTTCTGTGCCACCAGTGCTCCTGCCCACCACAAAACGAAAACAATCTCTTCTTCGCCTTATCACACCCTCACTACAATGTCAATACATTATAAACAGCATCCAAATGACAGCCAGTGTATGTGTGCATACTACACCTTCATAAAACTTACCATTTTATTAGATTTTAGGAGTTAAACGATGAAAAGAAAAAACAATGACGACGAGCTCTCTCCTCTCCCTGCTGGTTCTCTCGTGACACTCCAATTGTGGTTAGACACTTTGTAGATGCCTTTTTTTCTGTTCTATTTCTTAAGACAAAACAACAAATACCATTTATAAATTACAAAATAAAATAATGCAATGAATCCAAATAATTTAAAAATACTCCAAAGTATGCAGTATAAGTGTATGTAATCAGGATAAGAGGGGAAGTGCCAAAATGACTTCTGTTAGTAAAGATATCTGAGCACAGACGAAGGTGTGGCCGAGTGTGCGCTGTGAGGGGCTAAATCAAGCACCAGTGTTGCCACATCTGCCCGGGGCAGCGGGCTAGCACAGGCGCACAACACTCGCTAAAACAAAACTTATTATGTAGGAGAGACAACTCTAGTATATTCTTGTCATACTCCTCCCACACTAGTCAAAATATGCTACACGTCCAAGATTATTGAAAGGGATGAACGGTATTAGAAACACGCCGTTGTGTCGATCCTTTAACATATTGATGAAAACTGACAACTACCGGAGGAAAGGAAAACTACAAAGATAAATTTATTATTCAAGAAGGGGGGTCGGAAAATGGCCAGTAATTATACACGTAAGAGTCACACAAGCAAGATTATGACAAGTATTTTAAAGGATCATACCGCGAGTCATATGATGAACAATAACCCATTCATAGAAACACAAAAAGGGCTTTATAGGCGATAGATCCACTGACTTCGAATTGCTGAAAATTACAGAAATAATGTACTTGAATAGGACATAAGATGTAACATATTGTCTTAAAGAAAGTATGCGACAAAGTGATAAAGTTCCTCGTCGGCATTCACAGCGCATGCTTGCCGTACTCTCCTGCTCTGGTATTACTGGAGGATCAAGCGAGTTTGTGGATCTCATGTTCCTTGCTTGTTAGCAGACAGAATTAATGTAAATGGATACTAATCCGACTAGACTCCAGTACTAAGTGGCATCTCAAGTGCGTGCTACGTTGCTACGTCCGGTACTATTCGTCATACATACACAGTACGGTACATCAATAACACGGGTGATTGCACTTTTTCTCTGGACAACAATTATGATGTGGTGCTACTATAGCTTGCGGTCTACAAAGATATCTTTAATCTAAGCTAACCTTCAACTTTTTCACTTCATGGCTAAGCACCTTACAGCTAACATAACCTAATATAACTTTACCTAACCCCCCCCCCCCCAAGATAGCGTAAATGTTTAATTCACCAAGTAAAATAAACTCGGTGCCTATACTCTTCAGCACTGGGTGGATTAAGATGTGAATAGTTACTGAGCCCTGGCTGTACATTTGTCAGGTGGGACTATCTGAATAATTATAAAGTAGATGTGCAGGTTTACCTGTTTGAAGACGATAGGTCCATGGGATCGGGAGAGAGAATTCAAATCTTTGGAGTGCTGAAGCTACAGATATACAGCCAGGCAAGCAAGGGGCAGATCAACATATTTTGACTTTCTTTAATTTGAGGTAAATTTCTGCAGAATATAATGATGATGATGATGATATAATTTATCTGCTAATAGTAATTAACCTGCAGGAAAGTTACAGTTTTAATGCAAACTATGCTGGCAGTAACTCCTCGCAAACCTCTCTGTTAAATATCATTAAATAAGGCTCATGTAAGTTAACAATGAGTTACACCAGGATAAACTGTTATACAACCTGTAATTATCTTTTTCAGCTTTCACCCACATAAAGTCTTACATACACAGGTGTACTTTGTGTGTGTGTGTCAATTAATCAGCCATGTCAGCAGATTCAGCACAGTCAACTCTACGGACGTGTACCAGTAATTGTCTCCGAACGTATGGTGGGTGAGTGCGTTAAGGCTGTCATCTGTCTGCATTAAACTTGTCGGTGTGTGTTGGTGGCAGAACGGAAAAAGCAACATTGTTCATACTTTACACATATTTACCATGATTACCCTCAGATATTTCTTGCTTTTTAGAGTCAATTGTTCGAAGGTCAAGGTTACAGACATGAAAAAGGCAATACGTGGCATTAATTTGTACCCAGCTCAAATGTAGTTAAGTAATGTTAGTTGTCACTGGCTCTCTATTGTAGTACTATTACTAATATTGCCCAGTATCCTTGAGGAGCGGTTTAGAAGTTCATAGTTGGCACAATATTGTTTTTGGCATGTGTGTGTGTGTGTGTGTGTAAAGGAAGATGTTAATAGTGTGTATATGGTCCTTGAGATCAGTGTCATGCCAACAGTGAATCTCCGGACTGACCATTGAAAGTTAAAGTGGGTTCCATAGGCATGATTACCCATCAGAAATTGTGTGGATGTTATAATCGCCCAGTACATTAATTATTAGTACACGGATACAGCACACTATACAAAGTCCTCAGGACGCAAGAAGGCCTTCACCTCTCCATCCGTAAGTTAGGTATTCATTCAAACCTGAGTGAACTGGAAGTGCCACTGGATGGAGCCAGCGACCCTTAAGAATAATTTTTACATACATAATATACGTAGCTACCGTACCAGCACAGAGCATTAGGGTCACTGCCCGACACTGTGTGTGTATGTGTGTGGCACTGTGACTGTCATTTTGTCTTTGATATTGCTTGTGTTAAGTTATCGTCCTCAAAGGGTTAAAAACTCACTTCCACTGCAAACCTGACATCCGTTTGCACTGACATCTATTGATCATTTAGGGAGAAATTTACAGATACACAGTGAATAATAACGATATTGACATGTGTGAGCCAAGTGAGAGCCGAGACATACAGTACAGGTAATGAGTGGCACCCGAAAAGTGATGTGTATTTATCTCGTTATTTATAACATTTCGTATCATCTGTATTACAACATGCTACACATATACGTCTTTATTTGCACTTATCTGTATTTACATCTGTGCTCACATGTGTATACTCACACCTGTCTGTATTTACACCTGGCTCTGTGGTAAAAGACCAAGATGAGGGGCTCCCGGGATTGAACAGGAACCTCTCGATCTGCAGTCGAATGCTCTGCCACTGAGCTACTGTACATAATGTCTCTTGCACCACAACACTTGCTGCTGCTGACGGAGGTGTGGCTGGCTTAAAACCTCTGCCCAGACCCGGGAACCTTTAGATCTTCAGTCTAACGCTCTCCCAACTGATCTATCTAGGACTTTTTTTTACTGTTTTATTGCTGGTATTATTCTCTTTGTGTATGATTGGCTGTATATCTCTGTTTGTCTGTCTGCTTGTGTAGTTATGGTTTTATTTATTTGCATGGCAGTGTCTGTCTGTATGTGTTTGCATGGTTGCATATCTGCAAGACTGAATGATTTTGTGTATGACTGTATTTTATGTCTACCTGTCACCTGTGTTTGTCTGTGGTCATGACCGTGTCTGTCTGTCACTCCAGTCTGTTTGTATTATGAATAACTGTCTGTTTATCTGTATGTATTCCTGTCTCGGTGTCTGCGAGCCAGTATGTTTGTTTGTCTGTTTCTATCTCTCTTGTCTTCATTTATCTCTCACTCACTCACTCTCTCTCTCTCTCTCTCTCACTAGAGGGGAGGTGGTGGGTGAGGCAGCCATCTAACCACTCGTTTCCCTTGCTCACTAGGTCACGCTCGGTCACTGTCTGTCTGTTTCGCTTCTTGTTGATGTGTTGCTCTTTCTTGTTTTATATTTATTTACATCTATATAAACTCAGAGAGATATATTTAACTATGCAGATAGACAGCTATACACAGACAGCTATACAGACAGCTATACAGAAAGACAACTATACACAGACAGACAGCTATACACAGTCAAACACACTGACGGACAATCATAAACAGACAGAAATCCAAACACACTGACAGACAGCCATAAACACAGACAGAGAGCCATACATAGGCAATCATACACAGCCAGAAAGAGGTGTATCAAAGCATCTCAAGGGGCACTACTCAGTCGAGTGTCCTTACTTGGAGCTGGCGGACGCTCGCCCCACAAGGGGTCACAACTCAAGATTGAAGAAGCTGCAAATCCAGAAAACTGTGAGGGCAAACTTTTTCGGAGTGAGAGATGTGAACTCTTGGAACAGTCTGCCACAAAGTGTTGTGACGGCACCGAGTGTGAGTTCTTTCAAGACAAGACTTGACCAACACTGGAGCAAGTAGGTGCGGGTGATCTAGGTGTATATATATATATATATATATATATATATATATATATATATATATATATATATATATATATATATATATATATGTAGGTATCATGTGTGTGTATATATATATATATATATATATATATATATATATATATATATATATATATATATATATATATATATAATAAATAAAATAAATAAACATTAAAGTGATAACCGTGGCAACATTATGAGATGTTCTTATTACCACCATGCTATTGTACTATTCCAGATGATACTAAATGTTTAGATAATACTTCCTTGAGATAAATGTAGAGTATATATCAGGTGCCTCAAAGAGAGCTCAGGTTCTCAACTGGCTCAGCCATGTTAATATTGTTATTATTATCCACTCTGTATCTGTATTTTTCTGGCTAAATAAACTGTTTCAATTCAATTCAATTCAGTACCTGCCAACAGTGCGTAACAGAGAGCCAGTGCATGACTAGAACTTGCCAACATTGCGTGACAGAGAAGTGACCGATCGCCCAAGCGGCTAACGAGCAGATCAGTGGTGAAGAGGATAAAAGTAAAATTAAACAAACGTCCATACACAAAAGCAGACTGAGTCATATACACAGACAGGCAGCCAATCATACAAAGAAAAAACGTCAGCAATATTTGAATAAAAAGTGCATAGATAGCTCAGTTGGGAGAGCGTTAGACTGAAGATCTTAAGGTCCCCGGTTCGATCCCGGATCAGGGCAGAGGTTTTAAGCCAGCCACACTTCCGTCAGCAGCAGCAAGTGTTGTGGTGCAAGAGACATTATGTAGCACTCGGGGTTGTGGCTCAGAGGTAGAGTATTAGACTGCACGTCGAAGAGATCCCGGGTTTAATCCCGGGCGCCCCCTCACCTTACTATTTTACTACAGAGCCAAGTGTAAACTGACAAGTGTAAATACAGACAGTTGTAAGTACAGGTAGATACATACACCTAGTAGTTCAGAGACTCGTATTGACAAAGGTGTTTACGGTGAACATTTCTAGTAACTGGTTAACATAAGCTAACTTAATTATCATAAGAATTACACCTGAGACTGTCGTAAGGATAGTCT